GGGATTACGCAGAGACCCGGGAACCCCGGAGTTGCCCCTATTAGTGCCCTTGGGAGCAGCTGCCCAAGGAGAAGGCTCGTCTGCCTGCACAAGGAAATATGCCCTGACATGACTTTTTCCCAAAAGAAAAGGCACTAATTGTTCCAACAAGGTGAGCAGTTAATGAAAAGCTTGTGACATTTCCTAGATTTGTGACACCCAGATGACTCTAAGCTCAGCCTGGTGTTCTCTGTTTGGCCACAGTCAAGTCACCAAACCTTTCAAGTTTCCATGTCTTCATCTAGGAAGTAGAGATACATGATACCTGTCTTTCTTCCCTTACAGGGTCTTTCAGGATCAAAATATTAAACTAGTTTATGTTGAAACGGCTTTAGACACTATAAAGTGATCCATAAATGTTTGAATAGTATTGTGCAGCAAATCTTAGTTAATTTTATCAGGTGGTGTAATAGTAACTAATCAGCACAACTTTTGGATTTGTGAGAATGATGCAGCATAAGATTTGCTCCTTCGTGACTTTGATGTACTTTTTTTATTAAGGTAAAATATACATAACATAAAAGTTACAATTTTAATGATTTTTAGGTGTGTAATTCAGTGACATTAATACATTCACATTATTATGCAACCATTACCACCACCCATCTCCTGAAGCTTTCCACCATCCCAAACTGAAACGCTGTGCCCGTTAAATTATAGCTTCCTATTACCTCCCCTCCCTGATGTACTTTTCAAGTAGGATTTATAGACTCAGACGCTTAAAATATAAGACATTGTTTTATATTAAGTTGCTGCTGCTTGTTGCATAAAGAGCAAAGATTCTAGGAGGTCAAATAAGGAAAATCATTATGGATGAGAATAATAATGTAACAGCATTCTAAGGGAATAGAGCTTGGGGTGGGCCTTAATTTGAGTAATAATTCCATATTAGCTGAGTGGAGAGGAGAGGGAAAGAGCATTCCTGGCTAGAGAGAGAGAGTGAATAGCCTATTGTGAGGATTTTTTTTGGGGGAGGGAGTGATAAGTGTGATGTCAGAATAATAATGTTTATGTAACCCTTTGGCACTATCAAAACACCCTCACATCCATTATTTTATGGGACCCCCTCACCCAACCTCTGGTAAAGAGATGAGGGAACCAGCTCAGCGGTGTGAGAGTATAGAAGGAGACAGTAAGTCCAGGATTTGGGTCTCCCAACACCTGCCCTGTGTTCTTGGAGGCATCTGTTGTTCGTGATGCATTGGAGATAGTGCAAAGAAGACATAGGCTTACCTGAAGCTAAAGA